TTATCTTGAGGATTCATATGGAAATTAACTTCCATAATATCAAATGAGTTGTGAAATAAACACAATATCATGAGTTTAAAATATGTCAAATTAGTTAGTTCATAACTTAACATACAGACTCACCCTTTCATTAATACAGAGATTAACTTTTTGTAGCGGTAAAAATCGTGAGTGTAAGTTATTGACTAACTTAACTCAAAGAAAACAAGAGTCGCCACCGCACTTTTATTTTATCCAAATAAAGGAAAGGAAAAAGAGCGAACAAAACCAAAGAGTTCTAAAATAAGAACACGAGACAGAGATCGGGGTAAGGGGGTTGGTTACGCAATGGGAAGGTGTTAGCACCCAAAACGTCTATAGTACTCTATAGGAGCCCTTTGAAATATTTTCGCTTTTTGGTTTGAAAATGGTTTGTTTGAAAAGAGATTGGGGAGGTGAGAAGAGAATTATTTTTTTATATTTTTGTGTTTGGAGAGACTTATCGTCTCATGCCTACGTACCCATAAAGTGCAATATGGAATCAAAACCCCGTAGTTCGTGGTACAAATGACAAAATTTTGTTGGTTTTGATTGATTTTATATGTTCAAACAAGTCGTCATTTCAAGGAGAAAACTGCGACTATCCACCCACGAGTATTAAGACAACATTTGCGTCACATAAAGATGGAGGATTTGCTTGGATTATCAACAAGACTATCACTCAACATCAACGTGGAAAATGTCAAAGTCTTAATAATATGGGGAATAGGAGATTTACATCTCAACTATAGAAATGAATCATGTCTAAACTTTATGAAAAGTTTTAAAGTGAAAAGTGCATAAAGGCACAAAAAAGAGTTGATGAGTTTTTGTATTTTTTATGTCTTTTGAAATTGGTCAAAGCATGATTAACATTGATTGACTTTTATTAAGAAAAACAAAGTTTAAAAATCACTTGACAAAAGTCAAGGTTTTATTGCGAAAGCGGTTTTGAAGTTTGAAACCAAGAAGGTTTTTGAAAGAGGGAGAAAGTTTTGAAAATTTAAGAAGGGGAGGAGATGAAGTGACTATCCTAAAAAAAACAAAATAAGAGCTAGAGGTAAGAAAGATCTAACCGACTTGTAGCACACTCCAAAGCAAGCAAAAAGAATTCCATCCGATTTAAAATATAAGCCAGTGATCGAGCCAAATAAAGGCTAAGATTCAAAATTCTCCAAGCATAGGGAAGAAAGTCCTAATCCTAAGTCCAAAATGTCCATGAAGTCCAAGGTCTAAGAATGGTCCAAGAGTATAACCACAAAATTAATAGCACCAAATTTTTTAGATGTTTTATCCTTTATTAGTGTTTTGAATAAAGTATGGTCCAAGTGGACAAAAGAAAAATGACATAAACATAAACAAAGATATGGTATGTAATGATAAAATGGAAGCATAAAAGTAAAAAAATAAAGAGTAAGAAGAGAATATAAACAAAATTAAACAAGGATATTGTTAGTGAATTAGTGGTTAGTGGTTAGAACATATGATCAATGATGATTAATTCTTGCACTTAAACCAAGATTAATGAAAATTCATTAGAGGATTGATAGAATCAAAGCCTCCTAACAATGATTTTCATAGGTATTGGAATTAAGACAAGCAACTAAACATACTTGGACTTTTAAACGTAAGTTTGAGCCACGAATGATCATTTTCCGATTAAGGGACAATTTAGCGCTATGTTAAGCAATCGTAATCGGGTTTATGTAGAAACCACGACTATCTGAGGCCGGTCAATAAAATGTTAGTGTTAATACATGTTAGAGAAATGATATGTAAATCATTCTCCTAAAACATGCCACACAAAAAGAAAAGAGGTAGTGATCTCATCATAATCAAGATTTTTAATTAATTAATCAAAGGTAATCTATCACTATTCCAAAGTAAGGAGAATTATCTCAAGGATTATTCGTCCATAGATTTGAAATAATGAAGATTAAACAACTTTGATAATCAATTATCTATGATCCATAGATTTCATCGATCAAAAATAAAAATAAAAAAAAGAAGAAAGAAAATAAGAATGAAAAGAAATCACAATTTGAATCTTAAATCGATTAAATTATCATCAATATCAATCACCTCTCTTGGTGGATAAAAATCAACACCCAAAGTCCATTGATATTGATGAAATCTTATCAAAATTCAAGATCCAAAACCACCAACAATTAATCAAAATATTTTCAAATAATTTTTTAATGCTTTTTTTTCAAGAATATTATTATTAGTTTATAAAAATAAACTAATAACAATATAAAAAAAAGAAAAGATAAAAAAAAGAATAAATAAATGAAAAAACAAATTAAAAGGAGAAAGAGAAACAGAAACTTCATCTTCTCCTTTCTTCTTCGCGGTAACTTCTTCGCACCATTTTTTTCTCGAGCTCAAAGCTTGCTTAGATCAAAGCGACGGGATGCGAAAATTACACCGAACAGATCGAAATCAAAAGCTCTTCACAATGGTACCAACAATTCAGAGAATCACAACAAAAGATAACGGATCGAAAATGACGGTGAAGCTCAATCTACCTTCAAACTCAGGTAAGAAATCAATCCAAGCTTCTTCTTGCTTCTCTTCTTCTTCTGAACGAATTCTGGTTCGAAATTGATCTGTGTTTGAGGTTGATTTGAAGTTAATTTGGTGGAATGAAATATGAGAAGAGAATGAACGAAGGTTTTTTCTGGTGGTGAGGAATTGAGGAAGAAAATCAGCAGAGATTTTTTGGCTTGAAAAGCTTGAAGAATAGAGTGAGGGATGAATTCTATTTATAGATGAGAATGAGTGAAAAATGATTTGCAGTTTGTGAGAATTTTCTGCCGTTTTGAAGTAGGTGTGTTGTGCGTGATATTTTTTTGCTGGTATTTGACATGTCGTTTTGAACTTTTTCTTCTTTCAGCTCACTTAAGTGACATGGATAGCTTGTGGGGTCAGCTTGGAGTGTAATCTCACAGCTTGAATTATATTCACATGGCTTGCAATATGGCTTGGATAAGTGATGAATTACTTTCTCAGCTCAACCTCAATTTCGAGCCGTTTTCACTCTGCTTCATATATACAACACTCCTCAGAAAATTTTGCTCCTATTTTAATTTCTTTTTGGAAATCTCTACCGGCACGGGTAGCTCTGAAATTTGGCAATTGTATCGGATGTACGAAGGATTCCTTGCGGAGACTGAGCAACAAGCTCAGCTGCTTCTTTATATTTTGTTTGAGCAAATAGTTCATGGAAACGTTCCACTACCAGCTTCTCAGCACCTGTTATTTCAGTTGATGATATCTTGAATTCTGTTTCACCAGCTCCTTCGATGTGAACTTTTTTGGAACACAAGCAACAATTGCTGCAGGAAGGGGTGCAGAAAGCTTTCCAAAATCAGCTATAAATTCTAACACCTGAGCACCAACAGAATTAACCTCGTCAAGGGTAATTGTCCCAGCAACAGCAAGTAAACTTTCATGCCCTTGACTCTGGTCCATAACTTTATGGCTTAGAGCATCACTTTCCATGATAAAATCCAAGTTGTCAACAGAAGATACATTATCAATCATGGCTGCTAGGTGTTCGCTATCTTTCAAAAGGGCGTCTAGATAGCGAGTTAATTCACCCTGAGTAACACCAAACTCTTTAAGCCTGCGAACCTCATGAACAGCAACTCTAATAGCATTTTGCCAATTCTTTGGTTCTGCAGTTATGGTAAGAGTGGTCACAGTACATCCTTCCCTTCCAGAATCACTATGATCCAATTCAACTGAAGTGAATGGTGGATTTGAACTCTTATATCTTGTATTAATACGAAAATGAAGACTTGACAAAAATATTCTTTTCATCAAGACAATACGCAAATCTCGGTATGTTTGAACCTTATTCACTGGAATCTTGCAGAACATATTAATTGAAAAGTTTTGAAGCAACTCGTGTTGAAATATTTGTGGTGGCTTCAAATTTGCACCGCTTCCAAGAAGTGACCAATTATGCTTCACAGGAGAACGAACAGCATGTCTTTCCTTTTTAAATACTTTTGGTTGATCCGTTGTATTGGTTAATCTTTCAATAGAATTTCCACCAAGACCAACAGAGAGCTTAGGAACTAGAAAACTAGTCATTGCACCAAATGCACTTGAAGTGGCTACAGAACCTTTCTCATTGTCTACACCAGTTTGTCCAAAAACAGCTTCAATCTGTTGAACAGTTTTTTGGGATGTTACCAATATCCCCTACAATGTACAATGTTGCATTTGCAGGGAAATACCAGCGCTCGTGAAATTTTCTTATTTTATCTGCATCCCAATTCTTTATTTGTTCTTCTAATCCAATTGGAAACCTTTTGCTCAGCTTGTTTTCAGAATGCAAATGTTGCAACAACTGGCAATCAACCCGATACTCTATTGTGTTCATCATTTGAAGCTCTGAGAGTATAGCACGCCGTTATTTTTCTATTCTTGATGCAAGGAAGTTTGGGTGGAAGGTTATCTCATTCAGGGCATCCAGAACAGATGGAAGAAGATCATCAGAATCCTTGGTAGAGGTAGGAGAATGGATGTGAAACACTGTATGGTGGAAATCTGTATAAGCATTTGAACGGGCACCTGTTCCCAAAAGCTTCTCGCGTTTTTTACTTCCTAAGAAAGCAACATGTGCAATTCCTTGTTCATCATCCTCTTCATCTATTGATCCTACATGAACTTCCATGTGTGCTTCAAACCTTGATGGTGGAACTTTATTTGGCAGAATCAAATAACGAATCCCATTCTTAAGCTGACCACGATGCAACTTAGGGTGAGATGGAAGTTCAGAGCTCAAAAAGCCCTCTAGCCTTTCCAGTTCAGAATAAAACAAACTTAAGTCTTGTTTTTCAGCAACGCCCTCCTGCCAAGTTGTGCTAGCGGCATGTGGCTCATCTGGACCAATAGTTGCATGCGGAAGCTGAACCCGCTTAACAGAAGCATGACGAAGCTTATCCTTAGATAATCCAATAAAAGAATTATCAAAAAAAAGCTCCAGGAACAAATCTCGGAAGATTTGAACGGCGTTTCTTTGCGGAAGCAAGACAGCATGAAGTACAGCTTTGCCGTACTGGTGCAGTCGGTTGAGAAAGGACGGCGGAATAGTGTTTCCAAACATCCGGCGTATTCCTCCGTAAACCTAATCCACCGTGAACAACTCTTCTATCACATGGAGAAGAGTACGCGAGAGAAGAGGATAAGAAGAAACGGTTGGTACGGAAAGGAGTGGAGATTGAAGAGTGGCGATGATGACGATGCGGAGGGAGAGAGAGGTTAGTTCCAACGACGGAGAGAGATGAGGTTGAAATTGAAGCAGCCATTGGCATAACCAGCGTATGCGTAGCAGCTTATTAACCTTAACAGAAACGCAAGCACACCAACGCACTCAACCTCCATGCATGCAAATAATCTTCTTCTCAATTAAAACAGCTAAAGGAAGCCAATTAAATAGCTGGTTAATCTAATGTCGCGTCCAAATTTCGTTTCTCTCAAGCAGGTGATCATATTTTGTGGTCATTTCTTTATGTGACATGGAGATTATTTCATGATATGCATTAGAAGCTTCAAGTTTCGGCTGCAGACCAAAATTCATTTTAGTGGCAGCATTAACAGAAGCATCTAACCAATAACTGATATGCCAGCCATCATGAGTGTCATATGAGACCATTGAATGTGATGTTTCCCCAACTGATTCATTCAACTTCGCAACTATCTTAACAATCTCATCAATAGACTAGAGCATCTAATTTATAGACATATGTTTTCCGAAGAGGATTGTCCTTGGTTAAGACCTGGTATAACAAGCTTCCAGTACTGACATCCACGAGATTTGTGCGCTGCAGTGAACTCCAAGTCGTAGCAGCATTGTTGAAAATTGTCATCTATACAAGGGAACCAACACCTTGCTCTCCTCATCTGATTATCAGTATGTAGAACATTATCTCTGAAGTGGATTCCCGTCTCTGCCTTTATTTGGACATTTGTATTTGGACTTTGAACTTTGATAAATGTCCTGTCTTGTTAAACTCTTGACAACTTTGAATGAATGCCTTAAATCTTCAAGTAACTTGTATTCCAAGTAAGCCATATGCATCGGAAGTTTCTTCCACCTTATCAGAAGTCTCGGTGTTGTTAACAACTTCCAACTTCCTTTGCATTACATCGTCAGTCTCAATAAACTCAACCCTAATATCATCATTCCTATCTAAACCATAAAGTTTGATCTCATCATTTTCAAATTCATTTAAGGCAACACTTACCTTCTCAAATTGCTCATTGTTCGAATTCTCTGGCGAACACTGCGACATGGCATCAGAATCAATTGAACTAACAGTAGAATATCCTTCACAAGCTACTCTGATTCGAAGCCCTTGTCCGTATGGAATGTCATTCTCTTAGATTAACAGGGTAGTCTTCAGGAGGTTGAGTAACATAGGTTTCCAAATGAGCTTGTGAGTTTGTATTGGCTAGAGCAAAGCTCTTGGTCAAGGTTTCATAGCATGAATTCTCAATTTCTATTCAAAACCTTCTTTCATTGTTTTTTACACATCTCTTGATAAAATGAATACAACTATTTTTTGGACCAAGGAATTACTTGTACCTGAATCATCGGCCATCAAATTTTGATTTTTTGACATAATTCTCTGAATATCCGGACCAAACTTCTCATAGAACACTGCTTGATAAATCAATGAATTTCGACACAAGACAATTTGATCTTGAGAAATCACATTTCCTGAGAAAATAGCCCACCCCCACGGGTAACTTATAGTTGAAGCAAACTCTTGATAGTTTGACCAAGATGAGGTCAAACGTCCATCTGATTTAAACTTGAATGAATGTCTTTGCCATCAATTTCCTGCAAAACCCTAAACACACAGAGAAGAAGAAACAAAAAATATTTTTGGTATTTTGATTAGATGTTAGTAAACAGAAACAAACATAAAGCAAGTATGAAACAACAAGGGACCTAAGAAAAAATCAAAAAGTATGGTCTTGTTTGTGGAATGATATGCAAATGAAATGTGGGATCTTAGGGGTAAAAATTAGGGTATTACACTTTTGTATTAGTTTTTTGTAAAATGAGGGTGTCTCACTTGCGAAGTGATTTGATGTGTATACAGGCATTTGGAGGTTATCTTTCGTATTATTCCAAAAGCATTTTTGGATTTACTAAGGGTAGCTTTTGACCACTAAAGACAGGAAGAGCAATCCCCATATTTTAATGTGATTTATTTTGTTTTTTCCATAAGATAAACTTAATCCAATGGCCCATAGTAGAAGCTATATTAGATTGCGTGATATCTAAATGGACATTACATCTTCAACCCTTAGTGGTGGAGAAGTATCTTATGGAAAATACCCTATTAATTCTGGAAGTACATCTCCGGACACACCAATTTCACACCAAAACATGTTTTAAGTGAGACAAACCTCTATTTTCCCAAAAACTAAGTTTGGATCTCCAGACAAACCCCTTCAATGATTTTGTTCATTTAACAACTCAGTGACAAATACATAAGTGTAGTTCTGGATTTATCAAGCGGGAATTTGAAAAAACCTTGCATGTATTTTTCAACTCAGTGACTATTCTAGAAGTGCATATTTGGAAATGTCAAGCGAGAAATTTAATAAATCACCACCTTGCATGTTTGCTTCATTCATGAGCAAAAACATCATTTATTCTTCAAACCCTACCAAAACCTCCTTTCATACTCAATCAACTTTTCTACTTCAAAATAACATTTGTTTGTTTTTTCACATCAAATGAAACAAAAAAAAGTTGGAATTTAAGGTAATACGCATGTATTTCCTTCCTCATTGCTTACATTAAAATGGTTTCCTGTCTAAAAAAATGAACGTTGCGTTTGAAAATAGATTTCTGGATTTTTGTTAAATGTCATTCAAAAATGTATTTTTGGATTAGTTCAGAGTTGAATTTGGTCAGTTTTTTGAATATTTTCTGTTATGATTGGCCTTAAATATGGTTCCCTATGATGTTGTCCCCATACCTATTGTGCCTACAGATGACAAACCAGTTGATGTTAAGGTAGATTTTGGCAAATAATTTACAAATGAACATAAACTTGTTGTTCATGATCATATGCTCTAATGGATCCGCACTGAGGCTGCTATATCAAGATTTGATGTTGTATTTGGAAGGTCAAATAATGGTTCAGATAGAAGACATACATTCGTAAGACTGATATGTGAAAGAATGAAAAGTACACAAATCATATTCGAAAGTTGAAACAGGATGACACTGCTTCAAGAAAATGTGAGTGTCCTTTTAAGTTGTGCAGATACCTTATGGTGAATAATACAAGAAAATTTAATGTGATTTATGGTACACATAATAATGACATGTGTTGCAAGTTAGTCAATTTATCCTATTGCATGTTGCCTTAAGCATGAAGAAAAGGAAATCATTTCTAACATGATATTGAACATGGTACAACCTAAAAGTATACTTGCAAATTTGAAATGGAAAAGACATTAATATATCTCAAATATCAAGCAAGTATACAATGTTTGTCCCTGAAATAATAAGACAATAAAAGGGAATAGAACTGAAATGCAACAATTGTTAAAGTTGTTGGATGATAATCAATATGTAGCTAGGTACAATATGTGCGAGGATGAATTTTATTTTTTACGAAGCCAAACAAGTTGATAAAGTAGGTTTAAATAGATCAAAGTATAGTTGTACACTTAGGAAGACATATTATTTTCCATGTGCTTATTTAATTTCAAAGAAGGTGAAACTTGACAGCCCAATACAAATGGATGAGGTTTACACCCACTAGAAAAGGCTCCGGTTAGATGATGGTAGTGTGATGAAAGACGGTAAATCAAATATATTTATCTTGACCAAATGGGAAGTGATTTAAGAGATTTTTGAAAGCCGATGATAACATGAAACTCCATATCAAAGAGAAACTGGGAAGATTTTCTATCTAGAAACCACATATTTAAAACCACTCTCGCAACCAGTAAGAACAAAGGGTGCCCCTAAGAAGTTCAAACCAACATTAAGTGATAATTCAACGATGTATTCTCCTTCCTATTTTGAGCATGGTGACACAAATTTTTCGAATTCCCCAACTTTAAAATCTAAAAAAAAAAAGTTTTTTCAAAGGTACTTGCATTACCAAACCATCACCTACACCACCTTTACCAAAAGTTAAACACATTTAAGAGATGCCATTTTTATGCACAAATACATTGAACGAATTGTAAATGTTGAGAGTGATAGTAATTGCGGTTATGGAGTTGTTTCATCTTTGCTCAGTAAAGGAGAGGAGAATCATACCCTTATTCGCTAAAAATTTATCAAAGAGTTGAAGGCAGATAAAGAATCATAAATAATGTTATACGAGAATTGTTTTTTAATGTAATTCATGAATCTCTTATTCATTGTGTTAGCGGTTCGACACTAGAGGAAAAATGGATGAGCTTCCCAGAATTGGGTTATCTTACACAAAGTAAATATAATATGATGTGTATTGATATGACAAGATACGAGTTTTCAAAAACATATTTTCTACTTTGAAGTGTCACACCTTAAAACCCAACCGACCGCATTATATGTATTGGTGGATTTCAAAATTACTATATTTTTTTCAAGTTTATTTGAAACTACGATGCCATATATCATGGACATCAACGAAGTGAACAACTCATTCATCAAAGGAAGTTGAAACTTGGTCGACTAATTTTTTGGATAGGATGGATGAATTCACCATTGAGTAAGATTGAAAGAGAGTCAAACAAACAAAAGCCAAAGGTGGAACCACCCATATATATAGATTTAGGTGGTGACATATGTTTTGTATGTAACGTTGGATTAATATTAATGATCTAAATTGTATACATTTTCATACATTTTAAGGTATATTTTAGTTTTCTAAAACTTTCAACATTTTTGTGTATCATAACAGGTTTGGTTTCTATAAGAGGTTATGTGTGAACAATTACGAGTAAATCCGAAAATACATTTCTGATGCACCCCAATTTTTTTTATAAAAATGCTAACATGGGTTTATTCAGACATGCCTTTCTGGACTCACCCTATATTCTTTAAAAAATTTCTAACAAGGGTTTATCCGAAAATACATTTTTGTATACACCCTGATTTTACTAAACGAAATAGGGTGTATCCAGAAGTACGTCTTCAGAATATCTCCTAAGATAGGATTGTGTTTCTAAGATCCCCATTGATTTAAAACTTGAATAAATATGGGTGTCACTATACTTGTTAGCATAAACACACACATAACACACACAATATGTCTCAATATGTATATCTCACTTTTGTCTACTTCAA